TCATCAATTTTGACATCTTGAATTCTTAGGTCTTGCTTTGCAGTGTGAACAGTGGGTGGTGCTGCTTGTCCTCTGGCATTGGTCAGAGAAGGATCAATCAGAAACCAAAGATTTGGAGGACCTCCTTCAGACAAAGCCCTCCTGTCACTGAAATCGTTTCCAAAATGGTAGACTTGAGATGTGCTGCACCAAATTCTGCCTCCTCTCTCTCTAAAATCATTCACACTAGACTGAGTTATACTCTAAGGCCAGACTCTCAAAATCGAACTCCGGAAGATTGATCGCAGCAGCATCAATCTTCCATCCACTGAAGCCTAAGAGTCAGACTGCAAAAGGGAGCTATGATTAAGTGTGATTTACATACTGCTGCACAGGACTCTTAAGTTGGTATGTAACTTACACTCCCTAATACATTATTTTTGAATTTGGTCTCCCCTAATGTGAAGGAAATCCATTTTGAGAGGCTCCCACAGTGAGTTAACATTACATAGACTGTGTACCAGAGAGGATTTCAAATATCATGTTTGGTAAAATAGTTAATCAATGTCATGACATCTTTGATCTGCATTTCTCAATCTAACCCCTTACTTTTAGTGTAGCCTAGGGATTTAGCCACTTAAATTGATGGTGACTACATTCTTTGCTTGTGAATCTTCAGAGCTTGAGTAATTTTTAAAAAAAATTTTCAAGTAAGTGGGAAAATCTTTCCCAGTATTTATATAGCAGTGAGGAATGTTTATGCATCTTCTGCAGCAAAAGTGACTCTGATCTAATCAGTAAAGTGGTCAAATTAAAATCAATTGTGTTGTTGCTAGCCTTTAAAGACCTAAAAGAAATCATCTGGATTAAGAAATCATAACACATCTCCAGATTTTGAAGTGAAATCCCAAACAAAAGAACAATTTATTAGAGCTCTTTCTGTCACATCATCCTTTGTGAAGATCATAGTGAAAACTGTAGTGTGGAATGTATCTTCTACTTTTCAGAGTTATAGTATGTTCACACCGATGGAAATACATGCAGTTTGACCCTTACCCTAACTTTTTCAAACTTGAGTCTTGTCACGTCAGTCACATTTTTCATTGAATTTGTCTTTAGAGAAGTCTGTTTCCTCTGAGAAATACAAAAGAAGAGGAGTAATCAATTAAATGTGAACTGAGTTAGTTTATTGCTAACCCAACATTCATTTCACATCAGCTGCTGTTGCTGCGAGGATATGCCTTCAACCATTCTGCTGACTTTGAAACTGTTCGTATGATCAAGGAGAAGTTATGTTATGTGGGATACAACATTGAGCAGGAGCAGAAACTAGCCTTGGAGACCACAGTGCTAGTTGAGTCCTACACGGTGAGTGTATGAGAGATACATGTTAATTTAGAAGTTTAGAACCCATATGATGAGTCTCTTCCAATATAAGTAGCAGATTCCTAGTCTTTGTAAATAACTTCAGATGAAGTTATAAAATGACTATAAGACTTGGAACTTTTTCCCAACAATACTAAACAATGTTTTTCATAATGGTTGAAACTGTAGTAAGTATGGAAAATGATTGTTTTCTTATATACTGTTTCATAATGGAAGATCCTGCTTTTTTTGGTCTACTATGTCTTAGCAGCCCAGAAATAGCAGCCTAAGCTTTAATTTGTGCTTTCTATTCTACAGCTCCCTGATGGCAGGATTATCAAAGTTGGTGGAGAGCGGTTTGAGGCACCAGAAGCTCTGTTTCAGCCTCACTTAATCAATGTAGAAGGGGTTGGTGTTGCTGAACTGCTGTTTAATACCATACAGGCAGCTGACATTGACACCAGGTAAGAACAGGACATCTAAAATGCTATGGATCTATCAGAGCACAAGTGTGGACAAGGAAAAATCAATTCATTCACAAAAATGGACCTTTCATGAGAATAGGTGAAAGATGATTTCTAAGTACAGGGTAATGGTGAGTGTGGCAAAGTGTTTTCTTGCACCATTTGTACAGGTTGAACCTCTTTAATCCAGCATTCTCTGGTCCTGCAACATCTGTGGTCCAGCATGATTTCCGTTAGTTGGATGTCCATTTATCCCGGGTGTGACCAAGTTTCCCATTATCCCATAAAGTTTGTATACAACCACCAGTCCTGGCTCTCAGTGTACTGTTATTTAGCTCTAATATACCTGTGAATGTCTTCTAAGAGCACAGTAAGCTGTGGAAGTGTTGGTAATGCTGGTAGACTATATTGACCTTCCATGGTTTGGCAAATTCTCTGATTCAGTACTGGTCAGGTCCCAAGGATGCTGGACTAGAGAGGTTCAACTTGTATTCATGATCAGAGTTAACACAATCTCTCTTTGGGACCTGCAGTGTTATTCCAAGGCATATTTCATGGAGAGTTTATATTGAGTAAGAGAATATGTAGCTACTTCAGTGTTAATTCTAAAAATGTTTGTTCAGTGACCGCTATCTATATTTCTTGGACTTTCACTTACCTGCTTACCTTTACATTGGGGTTCTTTTTTCATTGTACAAAAGAGAACTGTTGTGCTAGAATTTTTTTTCTCCTATGTTAGGTCTGAATTCTATAAGCACATTGTATTGTCTGGAGGGTCCACTATGTACCCTGGGCTTCCTTCACGACTGGAACGTGAACTTAAACAGCTGTACCTGGAACGGGTTCTGAAAGGAGATGTGGAAAAACTCTCTGTAAGTACGGTTAATTAATTGCTTCATTAGTGGATAGAGCAGATATCCTGAACTACCACAAGAGGGAGCAAGATGGTCAGCAATAGGACATGAAAAGCCTATCGTTGCCAAGTATGTGAAGTATTAACATCCCATCCTAACTGGAACTTCAGTGATAGAAATGTAGCCGTTCAGTGTTTCAGAATGACTAATACAGACTTTGTATTGCCATCCTGGTGACAGGTATAAATACACTTTAAACAAGGCCACAGTGCTGTTAGTTCAGAAGGTTAAGCAGAATTTTAATGTAAATATCTGCTGTTAAACGTTGGTGAGCAGTCTTGCACTCAGATCTGACTTGATACCTTAGGAATTAACTACTATTAGCAACAAAAGTAATCGTATTTTCTAAACTGTGGCAATGTCTGCTATGTATCAGTTTTGAATATCAGCTCTTAGTTTGGATGGCTTACCTGCCCCTTTATCCTTGAATATTTTTTATTTTTAATACCACATTACACAAGTGCTCTGTGTGGATCAGTCTTTTCCTTCCCTTTAATTGATTGGTAATTGTCATGGGTAAACATATCCAGACAAGAATTGCAGAACTAAAATTGCATTATATTGCTGTCTACCTTGAAGAAGGAAGGTCTGACTTCAGTGAGGAAATGCTTTTTGGAACGAAGGGTTTTTTTGTTTTTCAATTTTGAATTGTATCCGGACTCTTTTCAAAACACCTTTTAACAAAATCTATTTTTAATAAAACATGTTCTCTTTAAATCCCTGAAGAGTACTTTATTTTAAAAAGGTTTTCTGGATCATAATTGGACTGAGCTAATTGTATAGGTAGCCAGAATACTTAAACTGTACTAATTAGTCAAGAAAACACTTCACATTCTTTTATCATTTTAAAATATTCCTAGTTTGGTAGTTTATGTATTTCATAATCACACATTTTAAAATGCAAAATAGGGCAGGCTGCTTTTATTGATTGCATTTTAGTTGATACAAGCAGAAAGTTCATATGCAGCATGCCGTCTCCTAGTATTTTATTCACTTTCTTCCCACTAAACACAATTAGAATTTCACCATTAGTTGTAGACAGGATGATTTTGTCCCAGGAATCCAAGCAACACTGTCTCCCTATTCCTATTCCTGCTTAGAAATTTAAGATCCGTATTGAAGATCCACCTCGTCGAAAGCACATGGTGTTTCTAGGTGGTGCAGTTCTAGCAGACATCATGAAAGACAAAGACAACTTCTGGATGACCCGACAAGAATACCAAGAGAAGGGAGTGCATGTGCTGGAGAAGCTTGGTGTGACCGTTCGATAAACTCCCAACCTTATTCCTATCACATGTCTAAAGCTTTTATTCCTTCATTGCCAATCTTTGAATTCGTTCAGCTACATGACATAGAAAGACCTGTCTCTGCCCTTTGATCCAGAGGTCAGGTTTTGTTCTGGCTTCTTGGGGTAGCTATTGTTAAATGTTTGTTAATATGGCTAAATTTGACCACTTCCTTGCAAACAAAACAGAGCAAGAGCAGTCTGTAGACTGCATTGTTCCTTCCCAGGAAGGCAATTCTGGTAGACTTTTTTTTCTTCTGGGTTTATTGCTGTAACGCTGCTGGCTTTTATTTCTAGCTTACTGCGGGTGGTGTACCTTTCATAAGACATAAGAAAACCTTTCAGCAGCAGCTTTTACCATCACATTAATGTGGTGTTTACCTTTGCATCCTTGGACTCTGTTTCCATTGGCCTTTTTTACCGCGGTTAGGAATTCTGATTAAAGCCATAGTTAGGAACTGGTTTAACCAGCCCAAACAGCTTTCAATGCGGTTCCAACATAGTTTGACTCCAAATGCACTGGTCACTTAGACTGCCTTCTAACACAGTTTATCTGAAACTGTCTGACGAGTTCCTAAACAAAATGACTTAATCAAGGTGGTTTTTCATGGTGTGTTTCTTCTGAAAGGCTATCAAAGCAGTTGTTTCCACAAAACTTTAAATTGTCAGAAACCTCCAATATTCTGACACATTTAAATTCTTGGCCTTACTGATTCTTAGTATTGTATAGCTTTGCTGTTAGGGGATACTGGGATTCAACTTTATTTAGAAAAATTCTTTTTATAGTTAAATGTTGGTATCAAGATATGTCCATGTAATAGAGAGCAAGAAATGTTACATTATCAATTGCATTTCATTGGGCTTGAGGCTTTAACTAAGAAATTTTAGAGAAGCTGGGACTGGAGTCTGAATCTTAATCTATTGAAAAATATTTTTTCAAAAATGCCTGTAATAATTCTAATTAGATACAATAAAATATCTCGACAAACGTGAGTTGTAAAAGCTTATTGTAAATGCTTTTGTGTACATCAGAAGCACTTCTGTTAAAATTTGCAAGTCCGTGAATCCAGTGCCAAGTAGTTATTACAAATTAATCTTTCATCTTAACTGACCGATGTTTGTTTAAATAAAGCAAGTAGATATTTATAACAACCACTGGCAGCGGGTTATGAAGAATGACCTATATTTGTTGCAGTTAAAAATAACAGACATGTGAGACTTATTTCTAGTTGGTAAATATCCACAATTCACTCTATCCAGGCTCGATTTTTGATACTGATAGGGAAGGAAGTAAAACCAGTGTTGTGAATATTGTTTCCAAAAAACACAATTAAAAACTAAGCAACACTGAAAAATAGATATTACTGGCAGTTATCACAGCTCTTTTTAGTACAGTTGCCAGTAAGATTTTCTTGTGAACAGAAAATACAGTACCATCCTTAGAATAAAATCTGCTGCCTTGCTGCAAAGTGTAGCATAAATTGCTCAAATAGGCATTTCCTTCAAACTATTCATTGTGTCACTTTGCCATTCATTGAAAATACCAATTTGTGTAATTTCTTACCTGATTTTTCTAAAAGCTTACTATTACATTTAACAGCAGCAGAGCCAGAATCCATTGTGCAAGTAGGGACAGACTTTACAAGTTTGGTGTGCATGACATTGCATTCATTGGTATATATGCTAAAACCTGCCAGTTACACACATCCCTTTGAACATTGGACCGTCATAGAACATTGCAATATGTAAACCATGCTTTGATTCCAGATTTTTTTTTCATTCCTAAATTCTTGGAGACGAAGCTTCCTTTTGGCTGAAAGCATAACAATGTCTTCATTTCTTTAATTCTAAAATAGTCACCGAAGTACTGTTAATAGTGACCATTTAATTATAGGAGAGATTTTTTTTGTAGCTGTGATTACCGTTAACTTGAACAATATGAATTTATAGGCATGCCGGTCATGCCTCAGTGCATGCACTTACAATGGTTACTAGATTTTGGGGGTACTCTGAATTCCTGTAGTTTTCTGTAAGTTTAATACCTGTTATGCTTTAGAAATGCTGTACAGCTGTCAACAGTAAAAGACTTGTGTTCAGAACAAATAGCAGTTTGTTCCTTCCTCACATGGTGCATGTCTCTTCATTCTCAGTGTGTCCAAAAGCCATGGAAGTAAACCAAAGAATGACATTTTTAGAATAACAATCTGCCATTTGAACATTCAAACTTAGGGACCTACCATACACAATCTTTTGCTCAAATTTATTCTCCTACTGGCCTCAGGTAGGTATGTCTGTGTTAGGGATGTTAGAAATCAGTTATTTTAATGATGTGTAACTTCTAAAATTTTTAGCTGTTATACGGTTACTCAGCGCCACCCCATCAGGGGTGGGGTGGGATCAGTAGTCAATGAGTGAGCCCCACTCCTAGGGAATCCTCTGCCACCCTGAGCTTCTGCCTCTGATACAGAGGCAGCAGTGCAGATCCGCAGCAGCCCCTGTCCGCAGGGGGCCTGAGCTCCCTGCAGACAGAGGCTGCTTTGTGGGATGCTGGAGCAGGCTCTCTCCACGGTTAGCTGGGGCTTCCCATGGACAGGGGTAGCAGGCAGGAACTGGTCCATGCAGAGAGATGGTTTTAAAAACCTGGTTCCCGCCTGCCTCCCCATGTTGCTGCCTCTGTATCAGAGGCAGCAGCGTGCCGGGGGGAAGAGTGGGGAGGGAGGAATTGTTACAGTTAACTGGGACCGTTAACTGACAAGCAGTTGCTTAGCAATTACCTAGGTAGCCGTTAACATCCTTGGTCTGTGTGAGTGAGAATAGTAAGATCTGCCCCTTAGGCCTGAATACTTCATAGTACCATGAGCAATGGATGTTCCTTAGTTTTGCAGTAACGAGTTTCTATGGAGAATCTGTATTTATATTACACTCTACCATAGCATTAAAAATTATTGCTATCCTGGGTTTGAGAGAGTGCATTTAGATGTAACCCAAATGGCACGTTTGTGTGTTGAATGGGTGCTCTTATGCTCAGAGCGGATCTTTCATGTGTGTGATCTCCCACTTCAGAACTTCAATGTTGCTGTGAAAACAATCTGATTTTAACTTTTTAAAAACCAAATACCAAGTAAAAATTTATGATTTAACTTTAATAAAAGTCTAAGCATAAATACTGCATAAATATGATGCCTCAGCAATTGTAAGAGGCCTTGTGAACAACCTTTTTTTAAACATACCTGCTTTGAAAACACAATGCATTTTAGGATGTTAATCGATGTAGCTATTTACGTGAATGGCTTTTTTTATACTTGTATGAGCAATGTTAAAACACAGTGACGTTTGAGACCATGACTGGAAATAGAAACATCCACTTAAACAAATTGACAGGTCTTTTAAGTTTAAAAAATAAATTCAGATTTTTCAAAGTAGCTCGTGTTTCCTGTGTCTCCTTTGGGTGGCCACAATTCTGTCATTTATTATATTTTCTTCTATGATCTGCTACTTTAAATTGGAAATGTTGTGAACTGTTAACTAGAGAATCTGAGACATCAACATAAACTCTGTATTGATCACTGGCACTAGCACCCCTCGCTGGATCTTAGATCAGGTACTTATGTAGAGAAGAAGCACATCAATGATACAATCTGGCTTTATCTCCACTACGTAGCTTTTAGCAACACAACTGTGTCGCTAGAAGTCAGGCAGTGTAAACTCTGCATTTTGGCACTTTTGCCAGCAAAATACTTCCACCCCTACAAGTGCAGTTCATGTTGTTGACAGAAGAGTGTTCCTACCAACAATGAGGCATTTATGCTGCCACTGGCCATGGCAAAACTTTAGCCTTTCTGTGGGTGAGGTGTGTTAGCACCTGTGAACTACAAAAGTTTTGTTGTTTAATTGGCAGTGCCAGCAAAGCCTTAATTCATGTTCAGAATTCAGGCTGGTAGGTGTTAAGATTTTCTGTGCTAGGTACTGTTACTGGGGCTCCAATCCTGTGAAGTGCTAAGAGCTCTCAACTCCCATTAACTTTAAAATACCCTGGACGGCGCCAGCCCAGGGACACGCAGCAAAGCCTTCAAAAGCAATGCTTTTATTTTGAAAAAAGTAGTATTTGGTTTTAAGTGGCAGGGTGCTAAATACTCTTCCCTGTCCGAATCAATAAAAGTGAAGAACTGTGCTAATTGGAAGGGGTAGGAATGTAGGTTTTAAAAGATGCACTTGAAACCACTTCATATAACTCAGTATTCATGTTTTTTTAGCAGTGGGCCCTGTCTACCCTACAAATTTAGATGTCTTAGTGACAGGCTAGCTTTAACCAGAGCTTGTATCCTTGCACACAAAGCTGACACTTGATAGACTATGTCAGCTAATTGTTTCACACAGGTCATCAGCATTGAGTGGCAATTATTTTACCCTATTTTGGTACATAGAATAATGCCCGATTGGCCATTCTCGCAGGGCGCTGCTCTATGTGCTGCTTCTCTGTCGTCTGCTGAGCAACTTGGGATAATTGCCCAGGTTTACCTAGGGTGAACTAAAACTCCACTGGGCCCCATGGTGGAAGAAGATATACATGATTGTGTTGTGAAAAATGCGGATGTGGACACAATTATCTTTGTAGTTGGGTCAAACAAGTATTGTGCTCTGTGCAAATGCTTGTAGCTGAGACATTAATGGGAGAAGGAAAAAAATTCTAATGCCGCATCACCAAACCTAATGTTCTACCTCTGTTCAGTAACCATTTTCAGAGCTGCTTTGCTGTAAGGTGGCCATGTTTCTGCACGACTTTGTCTTCTGACAGTAGCGTGGTTTCCTTGTGTTTAAAGCCCTCTCCATACTGCTCTATAGTGGCAACCTCTGCCAAGCAGTTTTAACACAAGAAAGCAGGGGTGGGGAGCCTTTTTTTGGGTCAGGGGCTGCTGACCCACAGAAAAGTCAGGCAGGGGCCACATACAAGTGAGAAACAAAACACAAACCTTGGATGATGTGGCCCTCTGACTGAGAGAGGAGAACACTTCCCACATTCCCCTCGCACACCAGAGCCTAGGGGTGCCCAGGCTAGTAGATTGTGTCTGCTCTAGCCCTGCAGTAAAGTGGCAGGGGGGCTGGAGCGCCAGCACAGGTTCTTCAGTGCTGGGGGAGGGGAGCCTTGAGCCTTGGGGGCTGAATTTCCCCATCCCTGTGATAAACAACCTTTTGCATTTCGATTCATGTCTTAAATGATGCCCACTTGCCTGTGTTCTGGCCCAAACCGTCTTTGATGTTAATCCAGCATTTAAAACAATGGGCACAATAATTGTATTGTCCAAGCCCAACTAGTGGGAGTGAAACGAGTGACTAAGATTTTACACTTGCAGCATTAAAGCGCTGCCACAGCATCAGCTTATGCAACAGTGTGGTTGCAGTGCCAGTGCTGGGAGAGAGCCCTCCCAGCACGTTAGGGAGAGCACTTCCGCGAGAAGCATAGCTCCTCACACCTGGAGCCTGCATGCACTGGCAAGTTGCTGCACTTGGGGGGTATTTTTTTTACTCCCCAGAGCAAGAAAGTTTCAACACAGCCCATGTAGGCAAGCCCTGAGAACATTTTCATGGGCAGCTCACCTGGTGCTGGTATCTAGAGTGAAGTCACCCTATATTAGGGAAATTTCAGCATTATAGACCCAACGAGGCCTGAAGAAAACAGATGTGACTCCCACTTGCATTTTCCCTTGTGTGGGGAAAGTTAATCTTCTTCATCCTCAGGAGACTGCACCAGCAAAGGTGGCAGGACAAAGCTGTGATGCAAACAGTAGTATACAGGCAGTCCCCGGGTTATGCATAGCCGACTTATGTCGGATCCGTACTTACGAACGGGGCTTTTCTCGCCCCGGAGGATGCGGGCAGTGGGGACCGCCCAGACACACCGCGGTCCCGCCGCCCGCATCCTCCGGGGCAAGGAAAGCTGCTCCGCGTCTCCCTGGTCTGCTGGGGGGGAGGGGCGGGTGCAGCCAGTGCGCCCTCCCCCCCCAGTCCCCCCCCCAGCAGACCAGGCTTTTCTCGCAGATGCCTGAGGTAGAGCAGCTGGGGCGCTGCTGGTTGGTCCCGCAGCGTCGCTCCTCGGCGCTACTGGACCAACCCGGCAGCACCCCAGCTGCTCTGCCCCAGGCATCCTGATTCAGCCACTGCTGAAACTGACCAGCAGCGGCTGAATCAGGACGTCTGGGGCAGAGCAGCTGGGGTGCTGCCGGGTTGGTCCAGTAGCGCCGAGGAGCGACGCTGCGGGACCAACCAGCAGCGCCCCAGCTGCTCTACCTCAGGCATCTGCGAGAAAAGCCTGGTCTGCTGGGGGGGGGACTGGGGGGGGAGGGCGCACTGGCTGCAC